ACCTAGATATTGGACTTACGCGCACTAGGTGGACACGGTGTATAATACCTTTTAATTTGTTATTTTTGTCTATTGAAATGTGCCTTTTATTTTTTGTACCTTTTTTTATAACAAATTTTTTAAACAGTACCAAGTAAATGTTCTGTTTTCTTAGGGACGGCACTTTTGTGTGAGTCGAAGTAATGACAACTTCCCAATACATTCTATTATTTGAATAACAGAACATTCCAAACATTCAGGTACAATCGAAAAACTGGAAATCAGCTCTCGTGATACTCGATCCATCTTCATCAATCGTAGTCCAAACAGGCATGATAAATGGGGAATCAAGCATAATACTCATGTAAAGTTATTATGTTTAGGATTATGGCGCTTTTTGTGTATTCAAATTTGCATAAAGATGTGAATCAGAGTATTATATCAAAGTGATGTTTTGTCCGGTCTCGATTTTGAGAAGGGTTGCATTATTGTGATATCCTAAGGCTTCGAATTCCGATATCTCTCCTTCTAACTGACCAGAGAAGTTTTTATAATACTATAGAAATCTATTATAATTAAAGTTCATACGTAAAAGTAAAACATTCTCTTATTTTGTCTACCTTCTACCTTATCCACGTCTTCTGTTGAAACTATATCTGATAATGGAATTTTAAAGACAAATTTGCAAAAAAACGTAATGAATTTCTCGCTCCCAATGAGTCAAATTAGCGAACGCTATTACGAGAAGTCTCGGTCTCACCTAATAACAACGCATCTCACCGTACGCGGTTCACCACGTCGTCCGCCAAGATGAGAGGCAGTAACAGCCACTAATTCATCATATCGCGGTGGCCGAGCCCTGTAATTATCCCGGGCGCCGCTCGCACCTTCACTTGTTTCCAGGCCGCCCCGGCCTACCAATATCACCAAGGCGATTAGCTTCGTGCGCACACAAGAACGAGGTTACACTGAGAAAAGTTTTTCGTTCTAATATAATACAACTATCCCTATCTCTAGTGTAAGAACCCAATGAAATTCGAGAATGTGTTTCTTTAAACTGTATTTTCCTCACAAACTTGTCTCTGGTTCATATTATCAGTTAAAATTCACTACATTTTTTAGATATAATTTTATGCGGGATAAAAGGGACAAACGTCAAAGAAAAAAATAACATGTAATCATAAAAAGTGGGAACAACAAATAAACAGGTGCATTACATGTTTTGGAAAAAGTTCTATGAAATCCAGTACCAGCTGATAGAACACGAAGATTAAAACGATTTTTTCTTATGCAATACGAGTATTTTTTTGAGATAACTAAATACGTTAGAGCCATTAGTTTTTGACCATCTGCTAGAGATCGCTAGCTGCGACATTATCAGACACATTTAACAACAAACAAATTACATTTTGGAACGAATACATGAAGATGAATTTTTCGAGACAAAACGTCTGAATCTGGTCCGGGCTGAGACAGTACAGCATTGGGGGTCATGGGGGCTTGCAAAAAATGTAATAAGATTTCCAGGCTCGTATTAAAAAAAATGAAGTTGATGATTGTCCTGAAGAGACAAAACGTTACATATAAAAATTGATTATGCCATTCGATAGACGGTAAAAAGTTGTCTTGAGAAAGTGTTCTTTTGCTTTCAATATCACTTCAAACAAGGCTGAAATGAAACAAAAACGGATTTCCAAAATTTAGTTTTTTTTTCAAATATTTCGAAAACTAATCATGTTGATTTTTAGAGGCATAATATTGGTCCCCCGATTACGCAACTTTGTCCCCATTTAATTAATTAATTTATTTATTTTTTTATTTATTTATAAAGGCTAGTGTTACATACACATAAAAGTGTTTACACGCGTCCAAAAAAAAAAAGAAAGTGATAAATAACAATACACATAATGATAGCAATCAACTAACTGTTATACAAATATACATAAACAACATATAATTAAAATAAATAGGATAAACGACATACTAAGATTAATGATAACATTCATATTCGAGCTACATTACTGTCAATAAAATCTTCAAAACTATAAAAGGCATTTTTTATTAAGTATTTTTTTATCCTTGATTTAAAATTATTTTCATTAAGAATTTGAATTTGGTGAGGTATTATGTTAAAAAATTTGATGGCCCAATAAATTAGTACCGACTCTCGTTTTACTAAGTCTTAGAAATTTATTACATAAGTATGTGCTCTTTCGGGTATTATAAGAGTGAGTATCACTTCTGATTCCAAAGTTATGTTTGTGTTTTTTGACATAAATAAAACAATGAAGTATATGTATATGCACAGGATACAGTTAGAATGTTCAATTTAGAAAACTGCTCTCTACAGTCATCTCTAAATCCAAGGTCAGATATGATTCTAATAATTTTTCTCTGAAGAGTAAAAACTTTAAGCTACTTCGTATCACTTACCGTTTACGAGATCCCTGCAGTGAGAAGCGAATTTGTAACAGCCTGTATAAGAAACAAAAACATTTTGATAAATTTCACAAAACACTTCTTTCAGTGTGGTGGCGCGGCATTCCGAGCATCCGTTTACAAAAAATCAAAAGTGATATTTTTAAACCAGTTCGACGGCATAAACCTGATATTTTCGACTCATTTACAGGTTCAAGCAATTAGGTGATTTATACAGGCAGGGAAAGATTATTGTCGAAATTAAAAGATGAAAGATGAAAGAAGATTTGCGGCGTGTGTCTAATTCGTAATTTACTGGTGTGATTTAATTATAGAATTTTTCCCAGTGTATAGCTTAATGATAATTAGAAACAATTAAGAATATACATAATATTTTTTTTGCGAAATATTAATTTTCTTTAAAATTCCAATCATTCAAATTCAACTTTAGTTATTAGTTAGCAACTAGCCGCCATCTATCATAAAAACATGTAAATATATACCTACCCTCTATAGTTTACATCTTAAGTAGGGAAACCGGTTCGTCTATCAACTACTAGAGGGCACCGTAGTGGCGAATAATAGATATTTACTTTATTTCAAGTTTTAGTTACAGGCTACAGTGTTAGATGTCAGACTGCAACAATAGACATTGAATTTATAATAAAATTTACATAATATTGTAGTCTAGTAATGCTTAAGACGGCTTTCAAAGTATTTGAAAATGTAAATAGACTTATTTCCAAGAATAGTCTTCTTCGTCAGTGATTATATTTCTGGGATAAAACTGCTTTGTGCTGCTTGGATAAAATATTGGAATGGGTAATAAAGAAATTATAAATCAAAAATTGCCCTAGAAAATAAAATATATGTATGCTGTCATTGCTGTCTCAGATCATACCAGGAGTTGTTAACAACTAAGGGCAAATGAATTCTTACATTGGCATCAACACTTGCCGTTTTTAATCATTCGTAGGGAGGTTTATTACCGCACTAATCAATATTAACTGATTAAACTTTAGCATTTATCTGAAAGATGGCGCCTCTGTGGCTTAACATATAAAAAATTCTTACAATATTTTTCTATAATATTTGATAGTTTTTATTTTTTACTGCGTTAGAGTAATAAATATGTATTTAATGATGTAAATAAAAGGAATTAGCAATTACACGCTTTTCAGTAGTGTCGTTGTGGTTTATGTGGTAACAATTAATAAAATTAATAATTGGCTACTATACTTGTATATTTCAATTGCCATTACTTCATCTTTTATAAAATTGTGAGTCGATATTTTTTCATTATTCAGTTGAAATAATAAAATGGTATAATTTTGTCATTTAAAATGTTGAAACCAGAATTATGCCGTAAAATACCTACATTTCCTCTTATATTAAATTTCTCTATTCACATATCTATCTATTAAATCCCACCACTCGATTTGTGGTCATAGGAAATTAGTAAAACAACTAAATTTACATTGAAAATTGTACATATGTAGGTACTATTTATTGAATACAAATTACTGTACAAAATTATAAAATTTCGTTACTAAAAAGTTAGTGTAATAGTAAAGTCACAATAAATATAGATATTAAAGCTATTACTTCATAAATACATTAATACTTAGGTACGTATCAGTCTAAACTTAATATTGGCGATAATCTTTTTTAGAAATATATTTAACTCGACAAAGAATAGTTATTTACATTACAAGTCCCGTAAGTTATGTGCATGTATAAGAATTTCTAAACCAGCATTATAAAACAACAGTTAACAGACTTGTAGCGTGTTCATCTTTTTATTTCATACTGTACTTTCGATATTTTAAAACTTGAGTCACTTTTTTATTTCACACTATGTGATTTATTTAATCATAAAGTCGTATTACCTGCTTTATTACTTAACACTGGCAGTTATGTGTTTTATTTTTTATTTTATTTACTTTAAAATTATTATTTTAAATGTCAAAGTGGCACTTGATCAAGATTTTGACCTTACCAATCAAATTTTATCGAAATATGTGCAAGCAAAGGGAAGACTGATTCGACGATGAAGAACGGCGAAACGTTTGGAAGAATTGGTGCTGATGACGGGACCGCACCCACAGAGCCGAGCCCAAGAACAACAAAAGTAAGTCGAAGATTTCTAATTAAGAGGTGCAAGTACGTCTTTAATTGGCAACACGAAACTTATAAAATTGTAGACTTGGCCAAACTTATTTTTAGATATATTAAAAATCAATTTAAGAATTTCAACTCGAGATCTTGGATCTTCGGAAAAAATTTCCTTCCACGTTGACGCGAAGGTTTTTCTGATTCGAAGGAGTTGTACCAGCTAGTAACATTTGGTTTGTGCAATTCAGACCGCCCTGTATATGATAAAAATTGAAATGGGAATGTAACGGAATAATTTAATGATATCTGGTCGCAGTATCTTGTAAATAAAGACCGATTGTAAATGGAATTTAAGTAAATTCCGGAAAAATTCCAGAAATTCCGCAATATTTCCCTGAAACCAGAGATATGAAATCCTCTAATAATTTCAAGATTTACCGGTTTTCCACATTGGTTAATTAAATATGTTTAAAATACTTTTTTTTTCATAATCTGTGTTCTGACGGTTTATGTCAGTAAGAAATAACTTGCCTAGCAATCTTTTACCGGCCCTGATACTGCAATAAAGCAGTTTCTGCATTAAAATCATGTATAAATATGTTTCTGTCATACAGTATGGAATAAAGATGTGTCTAAGCTCTTGTGAAGGTGATATTAAATCCCAAGATATTTCAAGCTTTGTCAAGTCAAATTACATTATTGCCCATTCTGCTCCTTCTTTGGTTCCACCATGATAGTCAGATACCCATCCACGTCGTCCATCTGCTTTGAAACGAACTTGGCCGCAATGGTATGCCTTCCGGTCCTCGGTGGAGTGAACTTGAACTCGCCCTTGGCTCTCTCGCCGGGAGGGACCGCGTTCTTAACCTTAACTTTAATCGAGCCGTCGATTCCCGGCCCTTGCACGGTGAACTCTCCTTTCTTCAAAGGAACCGGAAGAGGATTCTCCACGGATATATCAGCTGTTACCTCTTTATCTTCCACGGGTTTCTCTCTAAGAACGATCTTGATATCGGGCTTCCTTATCCTGAAGTCGTCCTGGGCGTAGTACTCGAATTTCGTCGCCTCGATGGTGGCTAGACAGGCCACGTTGAAAGCGCACTGATCTATGAGCCTTTTCCCGTATTCCTCGTAAGTTACTAAAAGTTTCGCTTCCTCCACAGCTTCCGGTTTGATCGAAACAGTGAAGGTTTCCTTCTTCACGTTGTCCCCTACCTTGCCGGTGTAGGTGACCACTTCCACGCGCAGGATAACCGTCACCTTGTACTCCTTCGCGCTGCTTCGGTTTTTCATCTCCAAGATTACACTGAAAGGTTGCCCGATCTTCACGTCGTCCATCAGTTTGAAGTTGAAATGGACGTCGTTGAAATCTTCGTTTAGGTAGTACCTGGAGAAGAGGCTCTCGGATTGTTGGAGGGCTTTCAGCATAGTGCTGCGTTCTTCGTTCGTCTTCTCTGGGTGTTTGTAAGTGTAGGTGATGTCTTCTAATTCGAATCTAGACGGTGCTTTGGTGCATATCAGCTTTCCTATGCCGTAGATGTCTTTCCTCAGTAGCTTCAGGGGCTGGGTCGGACCAGAATACCTCCAGAAAATCTTAAAGAAAACGAATACTTGCCTTAGCATTTTGTTAAACAGTTTGCTTTTTCGTTCATTTACCTTGTCAGCGTTGACTTCTGCGAACAGAAAGTTGCTGTCGTAAGGCCTCAAGATCTCCGCCAGCTTAACAGCGGCGACGGAAGACGGTCCACATCTGTACATATCCTCGCTGAGTTCCTGCGGGGTGGCGTCGATGGCTTGCCATCCTCCATAGTGGCTGCCCAAGTCAGGTCGCTGCATCCACACCTCGTTCCACACGTGGAAGTTCCAGATGGAGTCGGAATTCAACTCTTCCATTACCGATCCGTTTTCGTCCATGAAATAGTCCACGGTGAGGGAATTTTGGGTGTCGTGGGCTGAGGAGTAGTTGGTGATTGTTCTGGCTGGTATTCCAAGAGCTCTGGAAACTGATAGTCGATGGTTTTTGGATAAAAAATGTCAAATATACAGAAAAATGGCTGTTAACGTACTTGTTATGTTTTAGTTAAGATTAAGAACTACCCACCCTTGTAACTTGTTATTCTAACGAACGTTTCTTTGTTAGACAAGTTTCTTCAAAGCGCATCGAAAATATGTCTTAATCATTTTATAATTCCAGGTCACGGCCAATTACGACAATTTTTTATAGTGCAAAAATTAGAAAAGTAGTTATTACTGGAAATTATTTAAGAAATGGAATTATGTAATTCAATTCACTGGTAAACCATAAAGTGATAAGTACACAAATTCGTAAAATTTTACAGAATATATTTCAATTAATGACTGAAAAGACATGAAATCAACTTACGAAATTTACAAGTAGAAAAATTTGCTATTATTTGTATGTTTTGCTATTCTTCACACTTGCGCTATAGTACAAAAAATACGAATATCTTTAACAAAATATAATTTCGGGAAGCGTGCGTGTACTTTATACCCATCATTTTCCAAGTAAATGTTTATCACATCACAATTCGTAATTTTGTGTATTACCAAATGAAATCTACGGTTAAATGAGATGCTGACGACAGATACGTTTATGTATACATAGAAGCACCACATCTGCATAAAAAATTAACATTTTTAATGCACGGTCTTTGGTGCACAGTAACAAATATTCCAAGGACAATTATTGACATTAACATTAAAAACGTCTACCGAGCAGACTTATCTCTCTTAAAATTGTTTACACAAGCACTATCATTGTTTATTATTATCACACATTCACACACAGAGAATATTTGGCAATGCTTCTCCTTAAGTGATGATCTCATTCAATCAGCTCCTTATGTGACTTATTTTAGATGCAATGTTATCTTTGTTTGAATGTACAGAGCGATTTAAAGCCAGGTGCCGATGTAACTAATTTATTTTGGTTTTTTCTTTCGAATTTTAATAACTAACTACTTTTAATTAAAGAACATTACTTACTTGTTGTTAGAACTCCAGAAAATACCCAACACTGGCCGTATTTCACGGGTTTCTTCTTCTTGTAGTACTTCTGCAAGATCTCCATGCTGCCAATCCACTTGATTGGAGCTGTTCCGCCACTGTGATCGGTAGACCAGTTCCCCATAACTGCCCCTAAGTCGTCAGCAGCGTTAACAGCGGCAGCTAATGCCCTACGTAAGAAAATCGAACGAGTGACTTAAAAGAAAAAGGTATTGGAGGTATTTACCTCGCAGTTTTCACTGGATCTGATCTGTTACTACTTTTGACCTTGCCTACAACGTGCATCAAGTAAAGAGCGCAATCCAAGATATCCTTCTCGAACTGATCGTATTTCCAAATCACTGGTTTAAGTCTGTTGTACGTGCCTCTCCAAATAAGGCCTACGTCGTTCAGAACCGCTTCGTCCCGCCATTCTTCTGATTTTAGGTAGACTTGGTCGTGTTTGCACCAAGGGTTGTAAAGGATGTAGATTCCTTAAACGAGATTATAATTTAGAAGATGAATCTTGTATAATCAATATTTATTAAACGTTCTAGGTTTTGCTCGCTTGTTTTCGTGTCATTTTTTAGCTAATTTTATAATATAAAAAGATAGCTACGATGGGAACAGAAACAGCTCCGGGTTAAGTACGAGGTTCCGAGGAACGGTTCCGAGGAACGATTCCGAGAAACGATTTCCTAGAACTTTTCAACATAAAGGTACGCTTTTGAGGGACAGTTTCTGGGGCCTGTTTCCCAGGACCATTTCCAGAGAGATTCTTCAATTCCGAGCTGTTCTTGGAAATGGCTAGTTTCTTGGAACCGTTCCCCGAAACCGTTACTTTAGAACGGTTATTTCAGAACCATTCATTGGATCCGTTTTTTGAACGCGATACTTTGGAAATATTCATTTGAACCATTATTTTGAAACCATTACTTTGGAACCATTACTTTGGAACTATGTAACAGTTAGAACTGCTTTACTTTAACTGTTAGTGCAAAACAACCATACTTGTCTCCCAGCTATAGCTGTAAGCTCCATCGTTGATTATCTTGGTGTCTACATCCATCCGCCATTTGGCCACCACGGCGTCCGGAGCTGAAGCCACTTGAACTGTCAATACGTTTTCGTTGATCTTATCTATTGTGACGTTCCACGGCAGGTGTCTGTCTGCTTTTTTGAGCAGCGGTACGGCTATCATGGTTCCACTGCCGTGGGAAGACTTTTCTTCATCTAACAAAAATAAATAATATTTATTCAATATAAAAAAAATTACCTACTTCGTTTAGTTTAACTTTCCCATGCCTTGGAATTGAGTTTAAAGGTTTATTAGTTTCTTTTATAGACGCAGTGACATAATTTTAATACTTCTTATTAAAAAAATGTGTCATTTACCGTCCACTGTGAATATGAACGATATCCCGTCCTTCTCCTCGTTGTAGGGACGGCTCAGTTTGATGTCCAGCTGGAAACTTTGACCCCTCCGGACGACCAATTGTGGCTGGAATTCGCGGGTCATCAGGTCATACCTAGAGGTGTGATGAAACGGACCATTTATATTGACGCACGGATCTATCTCCCTGATGATGAGGATATCAGGCTCCTTCTCTTTGTCGATGTATGGGACACCATCTGTGTCATCTAAAAGTAAATAAATAACGCTGTTATTGGACTTGTAGGAATGCATGTGAATGTTTTTCTGGCTCATGTTGGTGATACATATGTTAAACCTTGAAAATTTGAAAGATCTACACTTTGATTTAAGATTTTTCTGTTCGCAATATGTATGTATGTTGCCATATCTGACCCCAATAAGAACAAGTCATCTGGGCTTTGTAAATGATCTGGGTGTAGAGCTTTATACAGACAGTTCTCTGTCCCAAAAATAGCATGTTGGTTTACAAGCAAAGTACGACATGACACATTTTTCAGATGAAGTGTAAACCAAATATTGTTCTCCTGAATATATTTAGCACAGATAATTTTATTTTTACGTATTTACTTGATTTTACTGCAAGAATAGGAAATATTTTTCGGTAAACGAATAAAATGCAAAGTAGGTTTTGAAATATAGACATCTTTTCTAGAAAGTATGTAGTGTCCTACGTTATTAGTAAATTAAGTAGCAGTTATTAGCCAGTGGTAGGTGTAACCTTGTTAATAAAAACTGACAAATAACAGAGGAATTTGTCTTCAAGTTCCCCTTCATTAGAGACATCTTGTTGACACATACGTACAAGTAGGTCAATAATTCTGAAAGAGATAACGAATTAATTATAACTTCATTTTTAGTTGCAAGTGTTGCGAAAAGAGAGGCTAAATTTTATGTTTTCTTTATATTTTCCATGAACAAAATTATCATGAATTTGTTTTTGAGTTGTTTGTTAAACATCGGTTATGCAAAATCCAACAGCTCTTTGTCTATTTCGATTATTATCATACTAAAGAAAAATCTTACGCCTGTTGGTATCTACATATACATTTTATTACTGACTAAAGTAAGTAAATGGATGTATACATACTTTACCAATAAATTTTAATGCCTCGTCAAATTGAAGATGTTTAACAAGCCCCTGATATTAAATTTAACGTCAATATGCGGTCAGAAAAAAATATTTGATGTACTTATCCACGAATATTTAGGATACGTTAAGAAATGAATCATATCAATATAAATTATAGCATCTATCATAGTCAAAAGCTTCAGTACCAATCCAGTGACGTAATTATTGAGTTCTGTAAGATGACCCGACGAAAAAGGTAATTCAATACTTAAAAAAAACAGTACCTCCACGTGGTTCTCAATGTTGAGTATCGGTGTCCAATGCAACGTGCAACCAGACACAATGTTCTCTTAAATTGTTTAGAAGTGCAGGTGGGACTCGTCATTTACCTGAAGAGGTTCACCTTGAATTATAATCGCTTGATTTAATTCGGAGACATGCATTGAAAAAATAAATAGCTGGGGCATGTGTAATGAGTAAAATTATCTCTGGAATAATAAATGCTACGAAACATGGAATGTATAAGAAATTAGAACTATTCGTAGAGAGTAATTCTTGCATGTTGTCGTTTGGTTGTGATGTAATTTTTATTTTTAGCAATTTAAAATTATAACATTTTAAACTTTTTATCAACGTTTTTCATGTTTTATTTTTGAAACGTAGCAGAAGGATATATTTAATGGTTAATTAATAAAAATTGTTTATAAACATGTACTTCATTTTGTGCACTGTTTAGAAAAAATCCAGTTCTAATCTAATTATTAAATACCTCTCATATTTGTAATTGAATGAATAATAAAAAAAATGCAATATACCTTTAGTAAATTATTCAAAAACACCTAAAGAATATAAACAACCACTGATTAGATATTGGAATTCGTTGTAAAGGTAGGTTTGGTGTTTAAATAAACTAAAATATAAACAATAGCATGTATTATCTGTTATTTACTTATCACGCCGACTAATTGTTTTCACAGGCGTGTCAAGAAATAACCATAAAAAAGTATTGAACGAACTTCGAGGAAAATATATAAATTAATTATAAATATTTACACAATGACTTCGGTTCAAAAGCATAACATAACCCATAATTCTTTTAAAGTCAATGGAACTTAACCTTACAACAGGAAATATTTTAGTGTTATGTTTTAGTAACCACGACATTGTTTACTGTCGCAGTTTTTAATTTTCTCACGTACCTAGTCAACCAATCCGGAATTGTTATAAACTGAAGATTCCGAAAAACAGGTCTAAATTCTATTCTTATTTTTAGCAACACTAATAAAACCATAGAGATATTGCTAAAAGGCTAGATAAATGTCGGAGAAAACAAGACCTTGCTGTGTATTTTTAGAAGTCCTATTATATGTATTTTCTATAATCAAACCATTAACGCATTTGTTTTACATTTTGAGCCAATATTTATTTGAAAATAAATGGAATGAAGCAGCTTTGGTAGATTTAGAAGTAATTGCTTTTTGAATAGGAAGCCGCTTACTACAAATAAAAAGACAATACCCAGTATTTTACTCAGAAAAATCAGCTATTTTTATTGGCTATGGTAAATAGTCTGAGCGATTACATAACCGTGTGGGATAATTTGATGGTATGATGCCGTTCTTCTGTTCCCAAACAAGCAATTTAACTGATTTACTCCCACGCCGCAAGGCCGTTTATATTTTTGACATAACGTTTATCGAGATTTTACAATAGCGGTCTGTGAACATACGAAAGTAAGAGGAAGTAAAAGGATTTGAATTTATATAGATTACCTAATTGTTAAAATTTCAAGGATAAACATCAACTAACACCTAATATACTTGCTGTTATACAAACAAGTATATCATTACATATTTGGGCAGTGATGGTGCCAGTTTTTCTGCGTGTTCTACACAAAATCATAAAAAAATGATCATAATTTATATTCCACAGATGTAAACATGTAGTGCTATTAACTAACTACTCTCTGGAAATGGATTTTTGTGTCACGATTTCCGGTGGTCCATAGACAAAAATATTTTTAGAAATCAATTTTCATCACCTTATAATTTCTAGGAAAAAATTCTTGAGATATGTATGATAATCTAGAATCTAGATTCTAGATTCTAGATCATCCAAATGTTCTTAGACCTGCTGAAAAAAACAATAATGGAGTTAGTTTTTCTCTAAATTCTATAGCTTGGAAAGAAATTGCAAGAAGTAAAACTGCGAGTTTTGAAAAAAATGCATGTAGTTGTAAAAAAAACTGTTAAAAGTATGAACTGATTGTTCCTCACCTTTAGTTTAAATTACATTTAATTTACTTAAACCTAAAGTGTGAATTAAGATGGAAAACAAATTTATTATTTCAGGTATTATTGGTGAAACATTCAATCGGTTCGGACGCTATGAAATGGAATATTGCTCATTATGTAAATATTTACATTGTTTGTCTACAGAAATACGGTTTGCCTCAACAGGTTTCGTTGAATTTTGTTAAATGTATGCAAAAGTTAATAAAATCGTTAATGTAATCTGGAATTCTGAGTATTATCCAGTCACTTTATCATTAAAACGCATTATTTTGCTATAATATCAATGAAATACATTGAGAGATATTTTTTTTTCACTAGTACAGTCGTTAGATAGATACTGTTACTAAGAAAAATTTCTCAGGTTGAATACTAAGTTCGAAAAATATCCGTTTACTGGCCTGAACTATTTTGATTTTTTGTCTGATTTAAGATTCTTCTCGATAATAAAGTCCGTTTTTCCAAATGTCAGTTTCTATCTAAGTACGTCCATTCGACGAAAAGTCAAAATAGGCACATGGACATCCAAATTTGTTGACACTTATTCAGTTTTTCATTTCTAAAAACTTTTGTTAACAATATTTAAAATAATTACTATATTATTGCAGTAAAATTGAGTGTTTTTTATTTAAAATTTACGCACTTTAATTTTATGGCAATTTTGCAAGAACAGCTCAATCTGGTTCTGTTATTACTTGTTGATTTTTTAAACATCACGAAAAACATTTTTATCATCATCTCGGTTAGGAATACGTCCTATGTTTATTATAACTTTTTTTTTCAAAATAAAGTCATCTGTCAACTGTTAAAGTTATACAAGGGAACATCCATAGAAAGGACCCTCTGTTAGCGAGAAAAATCTGCAATTAAGCAAAATATCAAAGTCAATGAAATTTTGCTCACTTTCTCAGTTTTTCTGATAAACTTTTCACAGTAGTATTTTCTGTATCTCTTAGAGAAAGGACGTGCTCTGTGTATATAGGAAATTGGTAGAATTAAAAGAAATAATAATAAAAAAATATATTTATAACTAATTTTGAATTGAACATCTATTTATTTTAGTAACTAAAGTGAAATCACCAAATAAATCGATAATTTGCCGGAGAGTATGATGAACTTTTGACCATTGGTTGATGATTATCAAATTTAAAAAATTATATTTCTTTGAATTGTTTTTTTGTTACGCATGCTGTACCATTCTAAATCGTTTTTGTACTTTATAACTGCCTTCTTATTCTCGTTGCATGCCATCCATACCAAATTTTACAAAAATTACACCGCATATACCTTTGCCCATTATTTGAAAAAATTTTAAGTGAAATTGAATTGTAAAATAATTACTGTAAGTAAATGATCATTTTCGAATACAACAAGTCAAATTATAATTATTATTGGTAAGCTACTGTTATAATGAATTTATTTTGTTTCAAAGTAAGTGTTAAAAATCAATATAACATTTACATTTCTTTCTCTGAAGGCTCACCTGCTTCTTTCGGCTTCGGTAACGCCTGCATCTGCAAGTCTTGATGAGGGGTCCATTTGGCTCGAAATCCGGGAAACCCGTGTGGGCAACAATTCGAGAATCGCCCCATCGTTAAAGACCTAACTTAGAAACCGTCACTTTTATTATTTTTTAGAAAGTGTATACGTCGCGTCCCGTAAATATTCGAGAAAATAAGAGTGCAATTGTGGGTCAGCTTCGCTTTCTTTGAACTTGGAGAGACTAACGCGCGCATCAAGAGCTCAACCTACTAGACGCTGTGCATCGCCTTAACCACTCCAACGAGTTTCAATTGGAATCCCACGCGCTCAGTTTGATGCAGCGGCGGAACAGAACGAGACAGTATCGATACGAGTCAAAAAAACCAAACGAACCAACAAATATAACGGTTAAAAAATAAACTGTAATTTTTTCTTGTTAGAAATTTTATTCGTTTATGAAATGTAGCGAAAATTTTATATGTGTTTAAATAAACACAGGGTGTCCCAAAAGTCCGAACCTTCAGATAACATTTCAGGACTGACTAGTTATTCTGTGCATCATGCTGTACGGATGGGTGTACCATAAGGTTCAATTTTAGGTCCATTGTCATTTTTAGTTCATATAAATTACTTAAATTCTACTTCATCTACAACATTATACAGGGTGTTTCAGAAAGACCTCCCGTAAATACAGGGTGTAATAGTACGACAAAAAATAAGAATTTTTTGTTTTATGAACTATATGTCTATCACCTCTTGTTTTCGAGATACAGAGCAACAAAATACAATTTTTTAAATAGAATTTTTACGAAAATTTTCAAAAGGTGCGAAATATTTTTATGAAATTTGATATTCCGGGGTTTTTTAAGGATGCCAAATACTCTGGTCTAATTATCTTTTGTATATTTTATAGAGGGCGCTAGTTATACTACATTCGTATTACATTTTAAGTTCTAATTTTTTTG